ATGTGGACATCATTTTTACAGTACAGACGCTCTTCCTTTTGTATTTTTTGTGTCCCTGAGTCACCTGTCCACAGATCATGCACACAGGGTTGTTTTGCACCCTGGATTTATTTCCCTCCCCAAAGAAGGAAAGCTCCTGTTTACACTTGTAAAGCGTGTCCCTGGACCATGATGGGGATGGAGACGAGGTAGCAGTGGCCTCAGGAAACACCAGACTGGCAGAAGGCTGGAGCGACGCAGGGCTGGAGCTGGACTGAACAGAGACCGCTTAGGCACAATGGGCCTGACTGTGTGCCAAGGGGTTTCAGATAGCGTAGAGGTGGAAGAGGCTACAACTGTTTCACAACTCACAGGAGTCTGTTTTCTAGGCTGTAGCAGAGACTGAGGTTGAAATTGAGGCTTCACCTGGGGCTGAAGCTGTGGCTGAGTAGCAGCAGGCCGAGAGACTGGCATCGCAAGGTCCGTCCTGTTCCTTAAAACCTTGTCCAGGACATCAGCAGAAAAGCCAGCAGAGGGACCAGGAGGAGTAGTGGAGCCAGAAGAAGCAGCTATCGGACCAGCAGGGGATTCAGAAGCAGAGGGATCAGCAGGAGCAGGAGAACCAACAGCCGCTGTAGAGCAGGAGCCTTTGGCAACGTCCTGGTCGCTGCAGCTCCTATTGTTGGTTGCTTTGAGATGAGGGAGTCTAAAAAGACCACAAAAAATTTGTAGTGTGCATTGTTTAAGCTTGGAAGGTGCAAATTAGATTTGTTCTGCCCCATACCTTCCACAGATTTACAAGCAGCCACCATCTCTGCATCATCATCCAGCCACGACAGAGGGTGTCTCTGGGAGGGGCGTGATTCTTCCTGCTGAGCAAACAGGAAAAGCATCAATTAAAGACTTAGTTAACTTGAAAATTTTACTAATTATGTTTAAGGCTAGAAATAATTTACTGCCAACTAATCTACAAAGGTTCTTTGTTTTGATCCCAAAAAATGATAAGAGTAGAAAGAAACCAGAGTTTAAAAGGATATTTGTTCGTACTACATTAAAGCAAATGTGTATGTTAACATATGGTGTGAAATTATGGAATAACCTGGATGATGAATTAAAAAAATGTACAAGTACTGGTCAATTAAAAAAAATGTATAAAGATAAAAGGCTAAAATCGTATGATTTGGTGGGTTTAGGATGGAGGATTAATGTTTTAGTAGTGATATTATTTGTGGAAGTAAGAGAGCGGTTTATTTTTTGTGTATAAGGCTATTTTGTACTTTTTGTTATTTATCTTGTCTTAGTTAAAGGGGGTAGGTCATATAAGATTTTTTCTTCTTCCTCCCCCTATTTCACTCGAATGCTTATATTCTAATTTGAAGTTTGTATATTTAAACTTTGAGTGAAATAAATTATTGAATTGAATAAACAGGGAGCCCAGTGTGCGCCCCCCAGTGGAGGGTTAAGGTATTTATATTGTGCCGTATCACACACCATGTTTGGAGGAAGACGAAGTAGTTCTTGCTGAAAACGCTGAAAAGTAGCGGGGGCGTTCCTCAAACCGAACGGCAACACGGTGTACTGGAGCAGGTTATCTGGAGTGACGAAAGCAGACACTTTAGATGCAAATGGAGTTAGCGGCACCTGCCAATAGGCTTTTAGAAGATCTAGTTTAGTAACAAATGTAGCTGAACCCACACTATCCACACAATCCTCTACACGAGGCAAAGGAAACGAATCTGGGACGGTTTTTGCATTTAACTTGCGGTAGTCAGTAACAAACCTATATGAGCCATCAGGTTTATTTTCCAGTAAACATGGTGAGCTCAAGGAAGTGGTGCTGGGCTTTGCTAGGCCATGTTCTAATAGATAAGTTACTTCCTTTCTCATTAGTTCCCTCTTCATCGGACTAGCCCTGTAAGGGTGCATATGAACGGGGACAGAATCAGTAAGGCTGATGTCATGAGTTATTAGGTGGGTCTGACTGGACACGTCTGAAAATAGTTCCGGAAAAGAGTGAATTAGATGAGAAAGCTCCTCCTGTTGCGAAGAGGTGAGGTGACCCAAACTGGACGACAGGTTGGAGAGAGCTTCGGAGTTGCAGAGACGTGGGGTGACAGGGGGCAGCAAACTCCACGCCACAGCATCATCTTGCACAGTATCAGGCAGTGGGGGAGAAACCTCTGCAGAGACTAAACAAGGCTGAGTCACAGCGGTAGCACGTTCATGAAATAGCTTCAAACGATTCACATGGCAAGTCATGGTTTTCTTTCTCATTAGAGGAGTTCTGATCACATAATTGGATTCACTGAACTTGGAGAGAACCTCAAAAAGCTGCAGCCAGGGAGAGAGAGGTGTCGGCGCGCTAGGATGATGTCGACGCCAAAACAACCAAAACAAAGTGGAGACTCACCTCTCACATCAGGAAGAATCTGCGTGTTTCGAGCGTTATCTGTTCTTTCATAATCCGTTGTTGAATTGTGATCGGCAGAAGCTTTTCTGGTTCGCGCCTCACTTTTTACAGCAGCGGCCCACGTCAAGACGTCGTTTCTGTTACTGATAAGGAAATGCGTGCGTTAAGCAGCGCGGTCTGTAGAAGCTGTCATCAGCTGATCAGGAGCTGCTAGAGGTAGATGTTTTCATCCAAGAGCATCACGGCCCATGAAGAACGAGGAAGACGTGATGAATATCTACGGCTGCAGACCCGCCGCAGATTTGCTGCTGTAGGTGGGAATCTGCAGCAGTGAATCTGCGGGTCTGCAGCCGTGCCCTTCTTGGCGTGACAGCGGGACGTCCCGAAGGTCCGCTCACCTGTTCACCGCTCAGACGTCCTGATCTTTTGCCTTCCTAGATCATCCAGCTGTAACCTGTTTCTGATCATGTCTTTAGCCCCGCTGTAACACTGATGCATCAGTCTCAAACGACATGGAGCTCAGGTGTTATTAGAACCTGTGTGTGTTTACCACCCAGCTTCAGCTCTTCTGTGGTTGGGTCTGACCCACGTTAGTACATTTAAGTCCTCCATCAGGCTTGTGCCTCTTCTAGTGTCATTTTAAAGGATTTTATTTATTTATTTAACCGTTACTAGATTAGCAGCAACAGAAATGCTGCTAAAAACACACAATTATGTGAAGCTGGAAGAATTAGAATACTGTGCAAAATTACATTTATTTCTGTAATTTAACTAGATCGAGATACAATTTAAAGGCTCGGGAACCTTTACAGGTGTTTCTATTTGCAATTTTAAATTTTAGCTGATTGGGGTCTTGTTAAATATCACACAGAGACCTTTTAATAGTCTAGATTAGTGTAATGTTCCTGTTAGTAGTTCTTCCTGTGAAGTGCTTATTTATTGAAATTATTCAGGTTTATAAAAAACATTTGGACATACATTTTATTATGTTCCAGTCATTAGTCATTTATATTTCACTATTGTAGTAATTCTTGCATTCTTTAATGAAAAAAGTAACTAAGTAGTTATTTTTGTTGGTAATCAGTTACTTTTATGATCTTGTAACTGAGTTACTTTTTTGACAAAGTAATCAGTAACTATAACTAATTACTTTTTTAAAGTAACGTTCCCAACACTGATTAACGCACAGGCCAGAGTTTCATCTGCCCGTGTTAGGAGAACGGGACCTGCTCTAGCTGTGAGAATGCCGTGTGTGTGCGCTCACCATGATGACCAGTAGAATATTCTGGAAGTCATTTCTGAATCCCAGTGTGGAGCTGCAGAACAGAGCAAAGTTTCATTCCAGGAGTTGCAGGGTAAAAAATAGGCTTGCTCAGTCAAACTGCACACGCACGCACATAAATCATTTTTGTTCCGTGAGGATTTATTCCACACTCACCATGAAACCCAGTGAGGTAAAGAGGAAGACTACGACCAGTTTGGCGTATGGTCCGTGTCCCATCACGAGCCTGATTCCTTGAAAAAAGGCATGGGCTGTGACCAGACCTGGGAATGCTCTAAAAACAGAAAATAAACCAGAAACAGTCAGAACACCACCTGATACCTGTACAAGTCTCTAGAAGCATGTTGCTTTGATTCCTCGCAACATCTTTCACCTAGTCAGCTGACTTTCATGCTTTTCCTTATTGCCTTTAGATTTGACCACAGCTTTGGCTTGATCACACGGCCCGTATTGCTCAGCTACAACTGTCTCGTTATTGGTCACAGTCAAGCCCCTTCATCACATCACATCACTGTTTTTCATGGAACTTGAAATCAGATTTACAAAATAATGGATCATGCAAAATCATAAGATCTGGTGTAATTCGATATGAATGACTGACCTAAAAAATGAACAGATTTCAGATGAATATGTAAAACCAACAGAGTTGGTGCCATTTTTGTGTTTGCTGATGAAACTTATCTGTGGTAGCCATCTTTTGCCAAGTTAGAGCTAAAAGCTAGTCTGAGCTAACCGCTAGTTTGAAACAAAAGCTAGTCTTAGTCTGAGCCAAACGCTAGTCTGAGCAAACCGCTAGTCTGAGCCAAAAGCTAGTCTTAGTCTGAGCCAAACGCTAGTCTGGGCTAAGTGCTAGTCTGAGCCAAAAGCTAGTCTGAGCTAACCGCTAGTCTGAGCTAACAGCTATGCATCCTCGAACAATTCTCCGGACATCGTTTACTGCAAATCGTGATAATCTCAACAAACATTAGTCAGCTAGCAAGTAGCTAGTTTTTGCTAGCTTTAGCTTTAACATCGATTGACTAACCTTATGCCGGCTTCTTCTCCTGGACTGTCTGGAAGTGAGGGGGCGGCCTCTGTAAAACACGGGAATCGGAGACGAATGTGACGTTGCTGTGTCGTTAAAGAAACTTATTGGTTTATTTTGAATTTTCCGATTTTGCCTTACTGATTGGAGGATTAGCGCATTGTGTTTTCTAAAGACTTCAACCTTATTGGGAGATATTTTTCCACGTGATGTATTCTATCCCACTGATTGGCTCAAGTTCGGGTATAAATTTTTCAATCTAACTGCCACTCACGTCTTTGAACAAGACTCGTTTCAGTGCGCACTGCGTAGGCTTGCTTGGGTTTTGCCTTCTTTTTAGCGTTGTAAAGCAGCATTTTGGAGAATATTTCATTCGTGCTTATTGTTATCTGTCGTTTGTTTGTTTGTTTGTATGTTTGTTTTTAAGCAATATTAGCTGTATTCAGCTGGCGTGTTCACTTCTTATTATGGTAAGTAATACTTACATATTTGCTGTGTCGATTTTTACGCAAGCAGCTTCATTATTCTTGTGATATAATTTGGAAAAGAGTAAAGTAGTTTTGTTGAATCTGCAGCATGAGTGAGTGTCCATGTGGCACGTGATGTAACATTTAACGGAAAGACACGAAGGGGGGGTGGACTCGCGCTGCGGCGAACCGGTTCCGCCGTTACATTCCCGCAGAAACTGGTTGATCACACCGGGACCAGAGTCGAGTCTCAGACATTGGGGTTTTACAACCACAATGTCCTAGGAAGCGAAAACGCTTTTAAAAGGGAGGGAGGAGTCCTAACTGTTGCTGCAGGCTGTAACGGGGTGACTCGAGCTGGGCGAGAGTTTGGAGGTGGCGTGGCTTTTAACCCAAGCGCGGAGTGACTGACGCCGGGTTGAATGGACACGCTGTTCAGGGAGCCGAGTGCGCAGCTGAACACGGCGAGTCCTGGTCTGAGGCTGGTCTCTAAGAACAGGCAGGATTCTTAGATCTAGCTGGTCTTATCTGAACAGGCTTCGTGATCTGAGACAATCTGGTTTGGACTCTGGGTTAGGTTCGGTTCGAACGATGACTTTGGTTTTATGCTTGACGCATTCACTTTCCGCGCGGTGATGCGGCTCGCGGATGGAACGTGCTTCACAAATCTCAGTGTTTATAGTTTGTGCGGCTTGTCTCTGCGGTGAGCCAATATTCTCCCAAACTGAACGGGGCAGCATGGAGCTGTACAGCATGCATTCAACACAACACCATAGTAGAAGTAGAACTTACTGTTTACAACATGGCATTTCAGCATTTTAAACAGCGTTCTCGTCTTATCCGACAGTACGAGCTATTTTTCTCCAAGAACTATTAACAACATGTTGATCACGGTGACCTCTGAGAGCTGAATCATACTAATGTCTATTTACGAACCTCTGCCATAGTAGTTCTTGCTGGTCCGCCATGTTTTTCCGCGTGGTTAGAAATTTTCCGAGGTGCGCGTTGCGGAAATTCTGGGCCGTGCGGAGGCGCGGTGGAGGGGCGTGGTTGTTAAAATGACGAAACTTTTCCGCGCGGAGCCGTGCGGACCTCGCACCTGGTTGGTTAAGCTTGATGGTTGATGCCGACGTGAGTCGGTGTTGTGCGGCACTTCCTTAAATAGATTTGGCGGGTGACGTGAACCGGAAGCCTGGCGCTGGGGATGTTGGGTAATGGAGTTTGAGCGGCTCTGCGGTGCCTCCCTAGAGGAGGTTGACAGCTGAGAGGGAGGTTGCGTGAGTGACACAGGCGTGTTGTGTGAGAGTGCAGTTATTTACTGGTTAATAGGGCTGCTCGATTATGGCAAAAATAATAATCACGATTATGGTGACTGAAATTGAGATCACGATTATTTAGGACGATTTTTCAATTTATGCTGATTTTATTTGTTTTTATTCAGTCATAAAATTGCTCAGGGCACAATCAGGACAAAAATAATAAACTAGATGATCACTAAAATAACTCCTGATTCCCAGTATAAAAAGACCAATATACTTCTAGCTCACAGTCTATGACCCAAGGGCTATAGACCTTGGTTTAACTCATTTAAGTCTAACCAGTACAGACCCAAATACCATTACCTTGCAAATACTGACAGCAAGAATTATACAGTGACATTCATAACAAATAAATGCAAAGAAATTGATGTTCACAAAATGTTGCATAACATTGAGTCGTGTCAAGGTGCTGTAGGAGAGTGCACAAGCACCGTGTCCTCAGAGAGATTAGTTATTATTTATCAGCGTGAGGAACTTATTTCTACCTTATTTATAAACTATTTATTTACAGGTCCATCAGTTAATGTAATAATTGTCCCAACCACAGCTGCACCCCCCAACCCGGTCTCACAGCAATCGGGGCAAGCTGCACGTGTGTTTAGCGCGCCGCACACGCACATTTAGTCATTTTTAGTGGCTCAGGAGTCCGCAGGTGCGGTGTGTGTGTCACTCACTCTGGTTAATCCAACAGGGAGCAAATAATCGGCTTGTTTTGTTTTTTTATAATCGTTCAAAACTCAGATCGTAATCGTGATTAAAATTCGATTAATTGAGCAGCCCTACTGGTTAATATATTTTTGGGTTCAGTTGCTTTCATGTGGCCTAATGTGAGTCTATTTGGGATCGTTGGAATGATCAGCAGCATTTTTTGATGTGACTTATGGCAGTTGCCCAGGGCATCATCACAAGGAGGATGGCATTCATTTACTTTTGGTTTATTTGGTATTTTTTCAGTCATTTGTGGAAATAGTGATTAATTTTGATTAATTCACAGCCTATGTTTAATTACATTTAAAAATTAGTTGTTTGACATCCCCAATTATAATAAATGTCTACAGATGAGATCAAACAAAACAGATGAGAATTGCCCTTAAAGAGCAAGTCACCCCCAAATCAACTTTTTTTTGCTGATAAAACGTGGAAGTAACGTGCATATTTGAGTCACTTCTGTTTTATGTTTCTAACAGAAACTTGTAGTTTTTCACATTTGAATGTAATATTGTCAAAAGTTTATTTTTGGCTCCATGGAGAGCTAAGTCCAACCAGCCATTCCTCCCCATCCCCGCATATTTCTCTCCTCCTGCTCCCTCACATCATCACACAAACATACACATAGGACCTTGGGGGGTGGGCATATCAGGGAGTGTGGGTATGGACCCCATTTCCGCATTCCTGTGGAAACCTGCCCCCCAATTTTATTTGCACCTTATACACTTCCACTGACGACATTCCACACAAACACACACTTAGGGCCTTGGGAGTGAGCACATTCAACGGCATTTGGCAGGGGGATATGTCAGCCTCCTCCAGGGTGCCGGTGGCCACTTTCAATTTTAAAGTGCACTTAGACACAGAGGGCTGTGGGGCGGTGTGGTGGCATCAACTGGCATGGGCAGACAATGCCCGCACTGCCCGCTCACCACAGCCGTGGAATACACCTCATCAACGAACACTAACTATATTGGAGCAGGCGGAGGGAGACTAGGGGTCTTAGCACACCTCTGTTGTTGCTTGGCTTCCTGGGGCTGGAGGCTAGGAGGGAGATCTGGCTGTCTGGTTGGGGTCTGGGGTGGTGGGTTGCTGTGCTCAGCATTGGGCGGGGGAGTCTGTTCATCAGCACCCCAGCAGAAAGGGTCAAACTCTAGTAATGGTTGTACCCAATGTGCAGCAGTACCAGGGCTAGGGTGTGTATAGGGAGCATAAGTGGGTGTCTGGCGTGCATTTTTAGAAGTCTTTGGTTGTATGTGTATGTGTGAGCATGAGAGGGAGTGTATTACTGTGTTTGTGTATGACTGTATATGTCAGGTGGGGCCTTTGACTTCTCCCTTCTCCTGGGACTTGTTTTGATGATATAGATCTTCGTCTCCCCTCTCCCTGTCACACCTGGTGTGGAGTGTGGTACCTTGGTCTGCCTGAATGTTCGTGGCTCCCGGGTCAGGGGGTTTAAGATTTTTGGCATCTGTCTGATCAATCCCGGTGGCTGCCTGGTGGGGTCTGGGTCCCTGGGCTCTGCTGGGTCCCAGGCGGGGGGTGGGAGGCTGCAGGTGGGCTTGCCTCTGATATCTCCCGGGTCTCTGCCAGCTGCTGCTTGTGGTCCCCCCGGGGCGATCCTCTGCACCTCTCAAGGGGGCGGGGGCCTTTCTGGTTGCAGTCTCCTTGGGGTTTTTGTGTTCTGGGGCAGCGGCTGGATCTCTGGGACTTGGAGCTCTCTTAGTCTCCTACACATCTTTGAGGGCAGGTCTGTGGCCCCTCACACTCTCTATTGGACACTCCTATAGAGAAACCTTACATAAACAAGCGTGTGTACACATACAGGTGCTCACATAAGTATGGACTTGGGCACGTTCAACACATGTCTTAAGGCTGTCGTTGCCACTAAATGCACTATGATTTATTATTATCGTGTGATTGTATTTCTTCAAGTTGACACAGTGATAGCTTGCTCCTGTTGTGTTGTTGTGTGTCCCATTTTTTTTTCTCTTTCTCTTTCTGCAGGCCTAGAAGCAGACTCTTGTTCATTGTTTATTTTTGTGGACCCCCCCCCCCCCCCCCCTCTTTTCTGCCCCTACCTTTTGTCTTTGTCTTTATCTTTCGCCTCTGATTCAGTGTCTGGTCGGAATTACAAAGTATTCAAAAACAATAAATTTTAAAGTATCAGACGTGACATTAGCTTTGATGCTCCACTTGAGAGTAAATCTGTAAGGCTTTTCACCAACATTCAGACATCAATTCTGTTTGCTTCACAGCCAGACAGGACACGGGGGAAAAATAATGATAAAAATAATGTAATATTGTGAGTTTATTTTTAGTCATGCCAAGTTTAATGTAGAAATAAGTAGGGCTGCAACTAACGATTATTTTCATAATCGATTAATCTGTCGATTATTTTTTCGATTAATCGATTAATCGGTTTGTTATTGTTTAGCTATTTAACCTATACAAGTGATGGATGCATTTCAGTTAAGAAAAAAAAACATAAGAGAATTGTGCAGTTGACTGCAATCTATTTTATTGCACATGAACACAGTCAGCAGTATAAAATGAGCTAAACAGTGCAAAATATCAGTCCAGAATAATTTTTTAGCATTAGCTGGAAGCCTGCTCCTTCCACCATGGATAGTGGCCTCATGTCTTTTACCAGCATGTTTAGAATAGAGTTTGTAAGTGGTATGAATTGCTGGGGGGTGAGTGTCTCTTTTCCCATGTAGTTGTCCATCGTTGCTTGTTTTTTTTCTGCATAAGAAACACAAATAGACTGAAATAAGTACACATATAAAATAAAGCAGCACACACACTACAACACTAAATCAATATTATATTATTTGAATTAATTAACAATATACAGTGATCATTTATTTTGAGGGTTACGTTCTACAAAATAGCCCGCAACAGGAGATATTCAGAAAAAAAGTCTAATTTTTTTACTATTAAAAAGCTCTAAGTAAGAAGCTCATGAGGTTTTTACTTTGAGTCGGGAGTGTTTAAATTAGCTAGAAAAATGTGAAAAATGATTATTTTGTGTAATACTGTTTAAGAAACATGATAAAAATGTGTTGTGAGGCGTTTTACAGCGTTAGATAGTAAAACAGCCTTTTAATAGTAAAAAAATGACTTTTTCTGAATTTCTCCTGTATTTAAAAATTGAAAGCGTACAACTATGCCGCGTTATATTCACCTGGACACAGCTCGTCTGTATATTTTTCACCGCGGAGTTGTCCTTTTTTGAATGAGAAACATAGTTATGGGTTTGTGCCGTTTTTCTCTTAACTAGAACATTCTTATAAACAGACGTGCTAAATTTGGCAAGCGCATGATTCACAACACGGAGGAGATTCACGATTGCATCTAGTCAATCAGAAGTAGAACACCGTAGACTGACGCGGCAAAAAAACATGTTTAACATCCACTATAACGAACTCAGCTAAAACACTAAGTCCAGCTTGTTTATTTTCTGTTACTTACCGGGCTGGCTCTTCCAAATGACGGCTCACTTGACCGCGGTGCTCTTCCTCAGCCCCCACGTTTTCGTCTCAAATGTTCACTTAGGGACGTCGTGCTTCCGTGCCATGCTAGATGGTTTTTGCATATTTTGCCTTTTCAATGCATCTAGTGAAGTGCTCCCATACTCGTGAGGTTTTTGTCCGGGGTTTCTCTAAAATTTTGTCGCTTCTACTTTTCTTCCGTATTTCCTCTTGTTCCGCCATCTCTCACAGCAAGATGAGCGTCAGTAACGTGATACGTCATGAAAACCGAGGGCACTCATTGGCTCATTTCTTCTTCTACGGCTCCACTGGTAGATCAGTGGCTCATTACTGCCACACACTGGCGGCAAATTTAACAGCTTGTAACCGATGTCAGATTGTGGTAAAAATAGACTTTATGCGGTAAAATATGATTATTAAACAACTAATCGATGACTAAAAAAGTTGTTAACTATTTTAATAATCGATTATAATCGATTAAATCGATTAGTTGTTTCAGCTCTAGAAATAAGTAAAACGTTATTAAAAGTTACAGTACTTAAAGCTAAACTGAGATTATGTAAAATAATGTAATACCATAAGACTAGTCAAAAGTTTGACTGATAACAATGGGGTGTTTAAACTATTAAAGTTGCATTGTTTAAGACTAAATTAAAGAATATAACTGCATTGTATGAAATATTCAGTCACAACATAAATAAATGTTTTTAGTACATGTATTGCTGACTATTTGAATTAGTCTAAGCATTCTATATAGAATACAGCAGGTGTATGTGCACTTTCATAAGTGCAAGTAAGTTCTAATAAAACTTGACATTTAATAACTTTTGATATTTTTAAACAATAGTTTGAAATTTAGCATGATTTAAAACTTCATTCTTGGGGTTTGATTAGATATTTTCATTTTTATATTATGATTCCTTGTTCAGGGGTTATCAGTAAAGTAGTAATAATTATGTTAATGTATTTTGTCATAGATGTCACACACAAGTTATTAATTTTTATCCTTTAAATTAGATTATACTGTGATTAACTCATTTAAAGAGCAAGTCGCCCCCAAATCAACTTTTTTTTCTGATAAACTATATAAATGTGTGTCTAATCGTGCTACAGAAATGTGTAGTCAATAGTTTTGCACTTTAGTGCATTTTAGTTAAGATTTTAATTTTCTGCCTAAAACTGTCAGTGTTGTGCCGTTGTCAGATAAAAACTTTGCACTACATTTGAATTTAAATCTGTCATAGCTATTGACTAAGAGGTACACAGTGATGTTAGATGGTACATTATGATGTCACAATGTTGTGAGTGTGTGTATTTGTTTGTGGCTCTACCCTCTCGGTCTGCTAGACAACAGCATTTGTTGCATTTTTCAAACAGGAAGTGGGAGTTGAGTAAGAATGTGGTCATGGGTGACTTGCTCTTTAAAATTTAGGATTGTTTTTACAATTATATAAGTTTAGCAAATTGATGGTTGCATAAGATTCTAAAAGGTGTGAGTGAGTGAGTCTTTACTGAGTACAGACACATGATAACATAGAAATCCATAGTGTTTGTGTTGCTTTTCTAATAGTGCTGTCATGTATTTTATGTTTCAAACAGCATTCACTATGCCTGGCAAAGAGTCCAAACGCAAGGCGGATGCTGCTAAGCGCAGCAATCGTCCAGCTCCGCCTATTCGTATCGGGATTCCAAGGCACAGCAACGATGATGTTAATTGTATGTATTGCAGTATTATTTCGCAGAACAAATTATTGTAGTGTTTTGCAATTCATTTAATCTATACTGTATTTATGTAAGATGAAAAATTATTAGCCAAAAAGATTGTTAATTTTTGTGTGTGTGTTTTTGTTTTGTAAGTTTCTGGAACTGGCTTTCGTCATCGAGTTCGTCGTTGGCCGACCAGTGTGATTTCTAACAAAGCTCACAAGTTGGTCCTTCCAGATGAGATTCCTGACAAGAAAGTGAGTGTAATGTCCACAAATATTTAAAATATAAATATAGATTTTCTTCCAATACTATCTAGCAGTACTCTGGGATTCTAAGGAAACGGTCAGATGGTGTTGAAGCCGCTATCAGTTACAGTGCTGCAAACAGACTGAATCGGCTTCTTTTTGACTTGTGCCTAAAGTCTACCAACTTTTGAATCTTAATAGAAAACCTAGTTGTGTTCATCTTCCTTTTTAGTCGGTGCTTCTCAATCTGTGATTTAGAACTTAAGCTGCTCAGTTATTTTTACATATCTTTATTTGTATTTATGTTGGTGTATTCTGTGATTAGTTTTACCATTTCATGTTTTATTGTTTGTAAACTTTGACTGTTTAATGTGATCTCTTTCTTCCTGAAAAGCATATTGCATTGCCGTTTGTATGAAATGTCCTAAAAATACAGATTGTTTTATATTGAAATGTATTTATTAATTTTTCTAATTTAGTTCGTCCTACTTGTTGGGGACTCCCACTTGAGGTCCGTGGCAGATGGCATAGTCCCTATGCCGGTTGGCGGCCTTGCTTTTGGTGTGATGTCCACTCCAGGAGCTTGTGCAGATCTTCTGCGCCTTGAGGTTTCACAGGCTGTGTTACCTCGGGAGCCTGATGCTGTTTGCGTCATGGCTCCTTCTAACAACCTTACGGCCAGCAGAACAGTTGAAGAGGCAGGGGATGCATTTGAGCGGTACCTTTTGGCTGTTCTCAGTCGCTGGCCTAAGGTGAGAGGCTGATTTGTGTAATTTTGAAGGTATGAGAGATGACAGTAAACGTACATCCTTAAAAATAATTGTATTCTTTCTTCTTCTTTTTTTTTTTTAGGTTTTCTGTACCTCCATGATTCCCCGTTTAGTTGGATCCTGGGAGCGTCAAGACCTGTTTCAGCAGGAGTACCACCGCAGATCGGCTAAGCTAGGTAAGTTGTAACATAATTAGATGAAAAGGTAGTATTAATGACGAGCGTTATTGCTATTTACTCTTAGGTATCAAACAATCACAATTTATAACTTTACATGAATTTTTTCCTTCTGCTTCGAAGGTGTAAGTTATGTGCCGATCCACGATCACCTACCCAGGTACCGTCTTAAACTGTGGTGCCGTGATGGTGTAAGTATATTGCTTGGAAGAAAACAAGGTAAAGGTTCTTAAATTTGAGATGATAAATTTGTATTTTCTTTTGTTGGTTTTTGTGGTTGCAGATCCACCTCAGTGATAATCACGGGATGCCTATACTCACGCAACTGATGTGGAATGCCTCCTATCAGTTCTTGGAGACACACGCACCAAAGCCACTGGTGCAGCACCAGGTGTCTCGTCCGCAGAAAGCGAGTATTGTGCCCCGTGTGGTTGTGAAGGGTGTGGAACGCATTCCACCTCCACGCCCTTCCGAATGGACGTTTGTGAGACCTAGCGGGAAGGTGAGAGACTTTATAAAGTATAAATATTGTAAAATGTTTATAATTTTAGGCAACTGGGCCACTAATGCTTCTAAATGTGTTTTCTTTTATTTACCATTGCAGAGGAACCATTCAGGGGAATTTGAAAAGACTTCTAATCCCCCCAAGAAACGAGTGGTTGTTTCTAAGGTTTGTGAATGTTTTTGATTTATCTTTTTCAAAGAATTTTGATTAGATGATAATATGTGGTGAATTTTCTTCAATAGGCTGATGACACTTCAGTGGCCTTGAAGGAGTGTTTCATCCCCCTGAATCCCGTTAGGTTCTCACCTTCAATTCTGGCTGCCATGGACACGATTGCTCCAGCGGATGGTCCCACAGACATACAGGTAGCTTTAAAGCAAAAGTTTATTATTATCTTTTAATGTAAAGTGTAATGTTGTTCCTGATGCTTGTAATATGGGCTGTCTATATGGTATATTTGAAAGTATTGTACTTAACCGTATTATTTTCTGTTTGTAGACTACATCTGTGCGACATTTTAAGAAAGCAGCTAGGCGTGTCCAGCAGGAGGTTGATTCATTAAATTATCTGGCATACAAATACATTGTGGTGTTATTTTTCTTCACCGTTGTTGTTCTTGAATTATAGGTTGCATCCACACCTTGCATAAATCCTCTTGCAGACGTGGAGTCTGTTCGGTCTAGGAAGGAGGTAAGAAGCGTGTGTTTCAAATATAAAAACTAAACTAATCTTTATTGACGATGTATTGACCTTTAATTTCTTCTGTATAGGTGTTGGACTGTGACCAGCTGCCTTCACCCCACCACCAGGAGGCATCTGGTTGTCCTGGGTCTGTCTCTGGGTCTGGTGCTGCCCATGCTGTGATGCTTCCTTCTGGCCATCACGCGCATGCATCACCCAGAGGTCAGTCTGCTAACACCCCTTCTTGCGTGCGTTCACAGGTTTTGCTGTCGTCTCTAGTTCCAGAGACAACTGTTCAAAATCCTGTTGTAAATAATTTTGATAAAGATAAAACAATTTTACACAACGATGATACAATTTTAGACTCTGTCCTAGGATCATTTCATCAGGGCGATGGGCGTTTTAAATATGGGGGAGTTCAGTGTGCAGCTATTACTGTTGTTGCTTTAACAAAGCACAAACAGAAGAGTGTTTTCTCTTGGGATTTTGCCGTGTTGGATAACGTTGTTGAGTTAGGAGATGAGCTGTACACAGATTTGCGCGACAACAAGAAGATTAGAGGTGGACATGAGTTTCTCTCAGTTCCAGACTTGCCAAAGGAAATTGACATGGAAGAACAGAGTTTTAAGCTTGTTTACGGGGATTTCGTTTTAGGAGATGTAGATGTAGCTGAAGGCGAGTTAATAGATGCTGGTGTGTACACTCCTCTCCTGGATGGATTGAAGAAGATGTGCACACAGCATGAAACTTGCATTATGACATTAAGTGGCAATACTTGTGCTATCATTTGTGATAATGGACGTTATGCTGTAGTAGATTCCCATGCACGCTCCGCAGACGGCATGGTAGACCCGACAGGACAGAGTGTAGTTCTGTACTTTGCGAACCTTGATAATGTTTTTCAACATTTTCAGAGGTTTGCTAGTGAACTGGTGGGATCTCAGAGGTTATTTGAGATCACTGGAGTGGATATTGTTCAGATGGACACATTTAAAAATGTATCTGAACAAACAGATGACATTGACATAAACCCTGTTATTTTTGTTAGTGATGCTAGTACTAAAGATTTTCATTTCAGTCCCGTTTCTACAGACGTGTCACAGGCGTTGAGTAAATGTCTGAATGTGAAGTCTGCGATGGTTGAATCATCTCCTGTTCCTTCATGTAGCACAAGTGTGGTTAACGTTGATGATGACAACAGTATTGTAAACAATGATACAATTTTAAGCTCACTTACAGGATCATTTAATCAGAGCGATGGGCGTTTTAAATATGGCGGCGTTCAGTGTGCAGCAATAAGTCTTGTTGCTTTAACTAAGCACAACATACAAAGTGTTTTTTCATGGGATTTTGCCATGTTAGACAATGTTGTTGTTTTGGGCGATGAGCTGTACACATATTTACGCGACAGTGATCTAATAAGTGCTGGGAATGTGTTTCTTTCTGTCCCAGAATTGCCAAAGGAAATCGTTATGGGCAAACAGACTTTTAAGTTGAATTATGGGGATTTTGTTTGTGGAAATGTAGATATCGTTGAAGGTGAACTTATAAATGCTGGAGTGTACACTAGTCTTTGGGATGGTTTGAATAAGATGTGTACACAATATGAAACATGTTTTTTTACACTTGGAGACAATACTTGCGCTTTATTTAGTGAAGATGGACATTATGCTATTGTTGATTCACATGCTCGTTCTGCAGATGGAATGGTTGACCCAAACGGTAAAAGTGTAATTCTATACTTTAGTAGTCTTGACAATGTTTTTAGATATATTCAGAGGTTTGCCAGTAAATTAAATGGAACTCAGAAGTTGTTTGAGATCAGTGGAGTTAACATTGTTCAGATGGACACATTGAAAAATGTTTCTGAACAAACAAGGTTGCCTCCAACAACAGGAAAGGAGGTTAGACGTGAAGAGTCATTTCCACTCTCGGAACCAAAAAAGTTACAGACAGATGACACCGACATAAACCCTGTTGTTTTTGTTAGTGATGTTAGCACTAAAGATTTTCATTTCAATCCCATTTCTAGGGACGTGTCTCAGGTGTTGAGTAAACGTCTGAATGTGAAGTCGGCAATGGTTGATGAATCATCTCGTGTGATTGGTGAATTGGGTGTACCATGCATGAATAAATCAATAGTGGCAGATGGAAACTGTTTTTTTAGAGCACTTAGTCAAGCTGTTTCTAGCACCCAGGAATATCATAGAAAAATCCGTCTTGCTTTGGTCAATCAGTTAAAAAAGAATCCTCAAATGTATCAAACCATTTTAAGAAGTGAGTATTCCTCGGTTTCGCAGTACCTCACCTCATCCAGGATGCAGTACGTTGGCAGTTGGGCAACTGAAGTGGAAATTCAAGCTGCTGCTGATTATTTTGGCATTAACATATTTACTTACTGTAATGATAAATGGCTTAAATATACATCCAACAGCATCTTTTCACAGCAGGCTGTTTATTTGGAGAATAGTAATGGTAACCATTATGAGACAGTGGTTTGTGTAAAACAACCTAACACAGGAACTTGTTATGGTTATTGTGGCCCTGTAAATAGTATTTCTGGTAGATACAATACTCGACATGCCCCTACAGAACATTTAAAATGTTCAGTAGAAACTGTCACACTTGAGCCGAGTTCCATAGATACAGATGGTGTTAGTGTTGTTCATTCAAATACTTTATTTACTCCTCTGTCTGCAGATTTTTGTAAAACTCTGTGTAATCGGTTGAAAATAGATTTTGAGAAACACAATTCTCAAGAATCCACATCAGGTGGGCCTTTAGGAAATGTCTGTAAGACAGAACATATTATTGAAGATGGTAACAGCTTTTTTAGAGCTGTAGCTCATGTAATTAGTGGGTCACAGAAGGGCCATCGTAAGATCAGACTCGCTGTTGTTTCTTATATGTCCAAAAATGCTGAAGAGTGTGAGAAGTTTCTGGGAAAAGAACATGCTTCTGTGTCAGAATACATAAAAAAGTCACAGATGAATTATGTCGGTCACTGTGCTACAGAAGTAGAATTTAGAACTACAGCCAGTGTTTTAGGATTACCCATATTTATCAACAATGGCACAGAGTGGGTCAAATATAGTTCTCAAACTGGTAATTTTGTCACTGAGGGACTATATTTGTCAAACTGTAATAATCATTTTGAGCCCGTTCTTTGCATAAGACTGGGTAATAAAGAAACATGTTTTGGGTTTTGTAAAGTTGATTCTTTGTCAGACAACGTAAACAAATGCAGAAGGTCAACTATGATGCAGTTAAATGCTGACCCAAACATGGAAAAGATGAAAACGAGGAAGAGTTTTTCCAGATATTTAAAGCAAAATAAGGCTTATGCAGAAGCCTCTAATTATAAAATGGTAAGTGCAGTTAAAGACAAAATAAAAAGTCAGAAGAAAAATGCATACAAGCAAAATGTTGCTTACAGAATGAAAAAGATCAGCACAACCAAATTTAAATACAAATTTCTTCTTGCACATAAAGAGAAAGTTAAACATAAGGCCAAACATAGGTCCATTTTCAACTATCATCATAACTTGGCTCATCGAGAAAAGCTTAAACAGATGAGTGTGTATAAGTACCATCAGAATTTGGCTCATCGAGAGAAGCTTAAACAGATGAGTGTGTATAAGTACCATCAGAATTTGGCTCATCGAGAGAAGCTTAAACAGATGAGTGTGTATAAGTACCATCAGAATTTGGCTCATCGAGAGAAGCTTAAACAGATGAGTGTGTATAAGTACCATCAGAATTTGGCTCATCGAGAGAAGCTTAAACAGATGAGTGTGTATAAGTACCATCAGAATTTGGCTCATCGAGAGAAGCTTAAACAGATGAGTGTGTATAAGTACCATCAGAATTTGGCTCATCGAGAGAAGCTTAAACAGATGAGTGTGTATAAGTACCATCAGAATTTGGCTCATCGTGACAAAAAGAAAAAAATGAGTAAAAAGAAATACCTTAATATTGAGCATAAAACATGTTTAATAGAAAGTATCCAGCATAAAAGAAAGCTGATTAAAGTAAATTCACAAAACTTTAATTTTGTTGTAGATCAATTTTTAGAGAAGGTGAAAGATGGACCTGATTTTGTGTGTTGTGTCTGCTCACGGTTGTTGTTTAGACATCAGGTCTTAAATTGTAATCAAGAATACTATAGAAAAACCAAAGAAATGTCACTTATAGCAGATAAATGTATAAGTGACAATCATCTACACAATTGCAATGATGCGTGTAGATTACCTTGCAAATTGAATGTATGTAGAAATAAATTGTACATCTGTTACACGTGTCATTATAAAATTAGTAAATGTCAGATACCCCCAGAAAGTTCAATCAACAAGCTGACTGTTGATCCCATCCCACCTCAACTGGCATGTTTAAATACATTAGAGCAACATTTAATAGCGATGAATATACCCTTTATGAAAATGTTGGCTCTGCCCAAAGGTGGTCAGAATGGGATTCATGGTCCTGTCACTTGTGTACCTGCAAATATAGTGGAAACGTGCAGTTTGTTACCACGTACCAACATGGAGGGGTCTTTATTACCTGTAAAGTTAAAACGTAAATTGACATATAAAGGACACTATGATTATCAGTATGTTGACACACAGCATGTTCAGGAAGCTCTTCAGTATTTAAAACGTCATAATTTGCATTATAAAGATGTAGAGTTCAATGAGTCTTGGATTAACACATTTACTCAGGAAGATGAGTCGTCTGTCCTGCAAGAAGATAGTGGTTCTGGTAAAGATGAAGATACTTGCATAGATGGAGAAGATGAGTTATTGCATGACAGACAACAGCACTGTATGTTTCAGGACACCTGTCTCATGCCAGTAGATATAGGACAAGAAGCATTGGATCAGTATGTGGATAACATATTAAATGTAGCTCCAGGTGAAGGTAACAATCCAGTGAAATTGCTTTCAGATTTTACAAATGAAGCAAAAAGTTTTCCCGTCTTGTTTCCTTCAGGATCGAATACTTACTATGAAAGCAGACAATTTCATTTGACTCTGAATCGGTATTTCAACAACAG